AAGCATGCGGGCCCGACGCCCTTCCTGGAGAGCTCGGCTTGTTTTTTGCGCCGGGGATGCAAAGGCTCCTTTATCCCCTCCTTCACAAAAGCGGAAGCCTAACCTGGCTCTGGAAGGGTCGCGGGTCGCAGAGCGACTGCGCTTCTTTTTGTGGCATTCTTTTGCTCTCCAACCTCTGCAAGGCTATTCAGAGAGTCCACCGACCATGCGTCAGGGATCACTACGAAGGCACTACTTCTCCGTTGCAGATCGGGGGCCAAGCCTGGAGGGAGGGTGCTCTTTGGTTCGCATTTGGCGCTAACCTTCATGAAGTGGAGATCTGGCCACGGGAAGTCTTCGGTCATTCTCTTTGCAGACGTGTCGTCAGCATATTATTGTGCTATCCGAGAACTAACGGCTTGTTAGCCTGCACAAAGCCCTGCGGTTGGAGATGGCCGTTGCTCCGACCATCCTTTGTCTCTGGACTTCCAGCTGGGCGAGCCCGCGGCTCTGGAAAGAACTGGTGCCAGTCCTTGGCTCTGTGCCATGACCACTGCCATCAACCACGGCACGTGGATGCATTTGCAGGGCGATCATATCCCGATCGCTACGCGCCGGGGCACGCACCCTGTCTGCATGGGCCGATTTGAGTTTTGGTTGGCCGTATCCTCCGCCTTCGGGACTCATGCCGTTCCTTACAGACTTAGCAGGTTGTAGTCCCATCTGTACCTTGGGATGGGCTTCGACATTGGGGGCCCGCAGCCGATCGCGCCTAATGCAAGAAAAACGAATTCAAAGTGAAACTAGTCCTCAGGGGTGTCCGGACCCGCTACAGCCTGTACGAACCCTGCAGATTGGAGCCAAGTAGCCGCAGGCTCAAGGGCAGCCAAGGCCTTCCTAGGGAGAAATTGCCACCCCGCAAGCAGAGTCTACATAGGAAGCTTGCCGTTTGGCAGCAGCTAGCGGCGCCCCACCAATGAAGGGATTGCTGAGGCCGGACAGGCAGGAGGATCAAGCTGAAATGTGGCACTGTCGCCCGAGAGCACAAACGGGACGCGGGAATCGAAGGGTCCCGGGAGATAAGCACAGCATTCAGTGATGGGCACACTCGACTTGGTCGGACTGAAAGTGCCGCAGCAGAGCGAAGGATCCAGCATGAGAAGGGCGTCTTCGGCGGCTTCGGGAACACCGAGCAAGTGCTCACATGAGTTTTTTTTTACTCGCCTCTTTTCCGCCTGCAAGGTGGCTGTCCCCGTATGCTGCCAGAGGCAGGCTGACTACCGTCGTTACGGCTACTTAGGATCATCGCTGCCAACTGCTACGAGCGCAGCGGCAGGCGACTGGAGCCCGCCGCTGGTCCGGCGAGCTCGAGCACTCGCTCGAGGGGCGGCTCATCCCCCTGACGCGGGTGGAACGGCACTGGCCAAGCCTGCCCCAGTGCCGTGCTGGCGACGGCCCGCTGCACGGCAACAGCCAGCAAGCCCCACCAACGGCGCGACCAGCCCGCAGCGGCCGCGCGGCGGAGAGCTGGCGGAGCTCTTTGGGACCGGACGCGGATGAGGTGCTGCACGAAGCGGCCAGCCTCGCTGTTCCAGCGCCCGCCGACTTCCGAGCCCAGAACAACGAGCTCTTGCGGTCATCCGCTGTTAAGCTCCGGGTATGTGCTTCGTTTGCGGCGCTCGGCTACCCTGAGCACGGCCCCGTCCGTATCAGCGGCTCCCGGCTGTGGATGCCCCGTCCGTGCGAGAGGTAAGACGAGAGTCGCATCGCAGCACAGTGCGCCTCCCCGCGGCGTGGCGCCGTAGACGACAAAGTCGAGCCGTCTGCGGTCATCGCCGCAAGGTCTCACGCAAAACTTCCAACGGCTCAACAAAATCAGTGGCGAGACCCCAGACCTGCTCGGCAGTCGGGTGATCAAGTCCACATAAGGCATCGTTAAGGCCGCAGTTGTAGCACGCCGGGTCCCAAGCATCGCCCGTAACACGCAAGGAGCCTGCAACTTGCACAGGCGGCTCGTGGGAAAGATCCCCACTCGAAGGCCTGAAAGCACCCCAGTGTGTCCTACAGGAAGTCGCATGGAGCAAATGTCGCCGCAGGCGAGCCGAGTTGGCAAAATTCTTGCCACACCCAGAGTATAACGTGCAGCTGTGGTTGCCGGTGAGCATCGGGGCGGTGATCCGGCATCCGTGCTTTTTAGACGCGTGGCACGCCCAAGCCGCCCGGCTAGAAAACCCGCGACGACAGATCAAGCACGCCTCAAGGCAAGCAGCACCAACAGAGGTCTCAGCGATATCTGCTCCACAACTCGCAGACTTGATCACACGATGAAGGGCCTGGAGGGCAGCGAAGCAGTTGATGCGGCAGAGCTCCAGACCCCGAGCTCGCTTGATCAGGCCCTTGAAAGCCGAGGGTCGGCTACAGATGAAGTCACCCCACTCGGAGCACAGCTGGTTATGATCGAGCAGGGTGCAGGTCACTCGGACTCGAGCATAGAGCCAGGCCAAGGCCTCACGCACTACCCCCAGGTAGGGGACGTCCTGGCGAATCAAACCCCATAGAACATCTGGCCCCGTGCAACACAATTGCTTCAAGTACGCAGTTGTTCTACGCGGGGCGTGGTGGCATAATCCGGGAGCTCAAGCAAGGTGCAGACCGCAGCAACCGAAAGATGCTGGTCATCCCCCTTGCCCCGGGCGAAGGTGGGCTCGACACAGTGCAAAAACAGTAGCCGCAAAGGTTCTGGCTTCGCTCCGGCCAAGCACCAGCACCGAAGTGAAGCTTGCTAAGAACAAAGCTCCCAAGGAGCACGCCTCGACCTGGTACGGCCTTCGCGGAAAGCAGTCCAGGCAGCTGAGCACCGCTGTCGTTTCTCAGATCGCATAACCCCGTCGCGCGCATGCGTAACACCTAGGTCCTAGGTGTTTGTAAGTGTCAGTCAGCGGCAGGCACGCTGGGCCATGGTTTTCTTTCAGAACGCAGAGGGAGGCCTTGCCAGGAAACTAGTTTCTGCGAACACTGCGAGCTCCTGGCCCCGGAGCGAGATCAATGCCGCAGTCTTGCGAGGACCGAAGGCAAGTTCAAAGCCGTGACCGGTGAAAGAGTCAGAGAGGGCCCCGGCTTCCGCAGAGACCACGACAGCGGCTTCTTCGACCCGGTCAACGTTGAGAAAGGCTGAGAGAGGTCATCAGCCCAAATCTCGACACTACGTGTGGATAGCAGCTTCCTGCATCCCGGGCTGTCGACGTGCTCTGCTCACGTGCCACCTTTCGGGAGTCTGATCCCGCGACCGCGGCCGTGCTGGATTCGCTGGCATGCTTTTCTGACGGCCAGGCCCACCTCTCCATAACTGTCGCTGGCACCTTCGCACTTCCGAGTGGTGCGCCTCCGGCTTCTCCTGCCGCTCAATGCCGTGTGCTGCCGATGCAGACCTCCATGTTGCCCCCTCCCAACAGGCAGCTACTGTAACGGCTTTGCAGCTGTGGCGAGGAGTCCAGGTTGCAGTGGACGCCACTGTCGTGTCGTGTTTGGCGAGCCCCGGCGTATGCGCGGAAACTGCTACTTTTCCGACTTTTCGCCGGCTGCCGCACCTGGTCTGCACACGCACCCCTACCACTGCAGAGTGCCTACCTGTTCCGGCAGGTCGCATTTGCTGCTGCCCGTGCCTTCGCGACCTCCCTACCGCTACGCAGGCGGCCCTCAAGCATGCCATCGAGGGGTGGCTACGGGGCTCGTCCCGCTGGTGCGTGATGTGCGATGGGAACTTTCGCGCCCTTAAACCTTTGAGCCGAGCCAAAGACCAGGCCGCCGGCATCACAGCACAACGCGCAGCCTCGGGGGTGTGGCGCCGTGAAGTCGAGCCCCTGCGATCGTCGTACCGGCCCCTTGCCATTCTTAAGCTCTCCGCGTGGTGGAGCTCGGAGAAGGACCCCCCAGTTCATGCGGTCCTTGTGCAGCCCGAATCCAGGGTCAGGCTGTGGAGGCTGGCGAGCGAAGGGGGCGGGGCAGATGAGTCGGCTAGGAGATCGCCGAGGGATCTCCATCGACGTTCGCTGCACCGAGAAACATTCCCTCACAGGATGCGCTCGGTCACAGCTGCCCTGCGACACAGCCGAATTTTCGAATGCGGCCACTTCCGCAAGCAGAAAATCCGCTCTCGCAGGAGGGCCGCGGGGTCCCACGCCGTGGCGAGGGCATGGCCGCGGGGTGCCAAACCCGCAGCCGTCTCTTCGGATGAGGTCTTGGAAGTGTAGAATCCGTATCCTGTCGAGGCCAGGTTTTCGCACTTACAAGTAGCACGAATCGAACGTGCTCGATCCAAGCAACGCCGCATTTGCTGTCTCTGTTACTTGTACACTGTTACTTATACACTCAAAGCGGCATGATGCCGCGTGAATGTTTCGCAACCGGCCCATTCTGCTCACGAACGCAGTTTCGGCACGCCGGCTCGACCACTCTGTCCACCACCTCCCGAGGCATGCACGGGATTTAGCGGGCCGAGAGAAGCCACAGAATCTGCTGAAAGCCACAACCGACCCCAGACCTGTGATTGCGCGTCGTCATTTGTGCTGCGGCAAGAGGCGGCACGCATGCCAGAAGGAAGAAGATGACAAAAGACAAGATTGTTCATTCCATGGGACCAGTGTGCAGCCGCGCGGCTCAGTGCAGTGCGTAGTTGATCCAGTTCGAGATTTGGAAAATTACACATGGCCTCATGACCTGGCTGACGAAGCTTCCAGCTTTCCCGATGCAGTATGGCATCCGGTCGACTGCGGGATGAAAGCGGTCGCGGGAGCCTGTGCCAGAAGTGCTTGTCGACTGCACGTTGGATTTAAATGGCAGTGGGTCGGCCGCTTTCGAACATTTGGCACACAACGTGTGGCTTGGCCATTGGCTGGCTGCCAGGAGTTTGTTTGTCATGTTGGTAAGGTTTGTCAGAATGTAGCAGGGAATACGAGGGCTAGATGTCGAAAATCGTCAAGGTTAACTTTGGAAGCTCGGATGACATCGCCGCGTTTGCCGCAATGGAACCACATCCCAGGTACCGCAGCCAGGTTGAAGTTGTTTTGTTAATAGGTGGTGCCGATTCTTGTAAGTTTATGCTGGTATATGCTGGTTATGTCAGGAGCGTCGAATATTTGACTACAACACTGGACCCGCGGCAAATCGCAGAGTTTCTTCGCCTCGAGATGCCTATTCGGTACGCTGAGCGCATACGTGCTTTGGAGCAGGTGCAGCGGTTAAAGTATCGGTTCAACTTAAGCATGGGAAGCAGCAAAAATTGAGAGTTTGCCGGAAGGTGCCTCGGTGGCAAACGATACCGGATCTGGTCGACGTGCATGATATTCACGTGGAGTCCTTCAAGTCGTTTCGCGTATGTGAAGCAGACGATTTTTCCGAAGTCACACACCAGGCCGGAAGGGCAATTGTGCAGCTGTGCCCGTTCTTGCGACGTCATCACTTAAGTGGTCGCGCTGTTCGAAGTGAGATCGCAGAGCAGATGCCCACATTCAATTGGCAGGCGTTGCTCAGGGAGCAAACTATTGTGGAGAAACTTGCGAAGTCAGTGCACCATCTCCGTGACGATGCCGGTGCTGGCGTGACCGATGATTCTGTGTGCCACAGTCTGCAACACATGTTGGCCCTTACAGCAGAGTTTGCTTGTATTGCCAGAGCTGTCCATTAAGATGCTCTAAGGTCTAAGTTCTTGGACGATTTCCTGTTAAACCGCATCGGATGCCAAGTTTTGCTGGGACACTACTTGGCTTGTCGTGCAGGTCAGCAGATGCAACGACAGCAGTTATGATAAATTCAAGAGTCCGATCAAACGCAAACATCACCCACATTCATGTTCAAACTTAATGCCACAGCGTTTATTTGGCTTTGTTCCAGACTCAGTAGAAAGGAATGGTATCATCGACCCTCGGTGTGATACCAGACGAGTGTGCCGTACAGCTGCGGAGGCAGGCTACTGACGAGCATTACACTTTCATTTCTGTCCTCTAGCAACCATTGGCATGGTCATGCATGGTCATGTCGGTATGTTTTCATGTCCCAAGGCTGTGCTGGATATGTGCTGGGAGTGCACGGGGAGAAGACCTTCGGTCTTTGTCAACGCGCATTCGGCTTGTGGCGGCAAGGGCGCGGATGATGGTCAAGTTGCGCGCTTCCCTTACATGCCACATGTATTGAAGTACATTGTCAGCGAGCTGCTCAAGAACAGTTGTCGTGCAACGACGGACATGCTGAGTGCTCATGATTTAGAAGCGGCTGACTTTCCCATCAACGTGATTATTTGCGCGGACGAAGACCACGTGACAATATGCGCGGCTGATCAAGCGGGTGGTATTCCACGTGAAGCGAACCCGTGGTCATACTTGTACACTACAGCAGAGGATGGCGCCTATGGTGGCACAAAGAAGCTTGCTGGTCATGGAGTAGGCACTGGGGCCGCACACGGAGTTTTCACCTTTTCAGTCTGCTTTCATATGATCCCAGCACAGAGATAATGCGCGGCAGCCCTTGACAATGGTTTTGCAGGTCTCCCCTTGTCGCGATTGTACGCAAGATACCTCCATGGCTCGCTTGACTTGGTGTCCTTGCCTGGATACGGGACGCACGCGTACGTCAACCTGCCTAGAGTTGAATCCCAGCAAGTAGAAGTGGTGCCAGTCCCTTGGAGAAACAAGATGCCAATCAAGATGCTTGCTTGGATGGGTTTACGGTTTGGGGTTCAGCAGTCAGGATGCGGACTACGAGTACGACTATGCGAATCTGCTGGACTTTACTGTGTGACCGACATGCGCCCGAAAAATCAGCACGTGTGTGCAATTCACGCCCAGTTTTGTTCTACACAGCTTCAGCTGGCCTTCATCGGTACTTGAGTACTTCCATGACATACCCGCGCGCTTGACACTGCCGACGTGCTTAAGCGCTTGGCCCACATGCCTTCTGCAGCCTCAAGTTGCGGCCCGCGAAGTTTTTGGTCTTCCGGTTGCAATGTCCTGCAGTTTCGAATGCCCGTCCATCCACTGCTGATTGCCCATGCCTCTGCACTAGCAGTAGCGGGTGGACCTGCGCACAGACCTTTCTGCCCACCATACAAATTCAGCGTGACCTGCCTGCAATGTGGAGCGACTCTTTGGCGTCCTTGATTTTGGCATGAACCGTTCGATGGCAGGGACGGGATGGGACTGAAGTTTGTTGGACATGTCCGCCAAGCCTAGGATGAGACGTTGGATATACCCATCCAGTCATCGCACGATTCGAGTCACTGCTCCCTCGAAGCATCGCGCAAACGTTACGGAACTCTCCTGCAGGACTCTCCGAAGGGGCCGAAAGCTTGAAGGAATTGTGTGAAAGTACCGAACGGACCTCGCTTTTCTTTTTCCAAAACTGTTCGAACAGCTCCAGGAGAGTCACGCGGCTGCAAGGGTGGCCAGGTATTGTCATCGGTCATACAGACATGTTTTCGAGAGCATTCTGATCACCTCTAGGAGACGGCCTATCAAAGCAAGACGATGTGGCGGGCAGCTACGCGATACTATGCACCCGAGCGGTGGGAGGCTTGGGGCACACTCTACGAGACAATGTCCCACTTGGAAGCTAAGCTGCATCAGGCACGTCAGAGGGAGGGTTCTGTCGAGCGGTGATGGCGATGTGCGGGAACAGGCCTGGCCAAAAGACGTTGAGATGAGGATCTCTGCATACCTGCTACTGTAGTGATGCTAGTGCGATCGATCATTGACAGCCGCCCAAAAACCCAACCCGGTGCAACTTACTCGCGGAAGGCTGAATCAGACCAAGGAATGCTTTGCAGCCTTCAGGTCTTGCTTTCCTGGTGGCATCCAAGAGGAAGCCCTGACAGTGGTACCAGTGTGCTGGGCCTTTCAGGAGGCCTCGACATGACCTCAAATCGATTGCTCCAGACTGCGATCTAGTCTCGTACTTCAGTGCCGCAGGAGGTCAAGAAGGTGTTTCGATTGGATGTTCCTTGCTTGACTGTGCACGACTGGTGATGGGCCGCTGGACATGCTGGACCTTGCCTGTGCATTGCTGCGGTTAACTGAGGCACACATGACGCAGGCGGCGGCACAGCTTGGAATGCGGATCCTTTCAACCGAAGATGACCTTCGTCGACTGCGACACCCTTGCCCTGCATCTGCAATTTGGGGGGAGCTGGTTCAGTAGCAACATTTTAATTGGGCTCAGTGAGGCTACGAAACTGCGCAAGTGACCACTTTCGAGTCGCACGACATTTTGCGACGTCAGGCGGCCGGCTGCATGGGGTAAATCGGATAATGTTCTTTCTACTCCAACATGGTCGTGGTTCACCGTGAATCTCGTTCGCCCTGGGCAGGCCATCTATCCAGCGTCAAACTTGTTCGGCGACCATGCTGGTGGCGCTGCAGCCGGCTTGGTGCCGTTCTGGATTCCCCGGCGTGATTCTCAGTTTATGGAGTTGAACGATGGAGCCCCAAGATGCACTGGCGAAATCCTCACAAGGTGGACAGCTCCAGTTTCTCACACCTTCGATGTGTGCAACCGCACAGACCTGTTGAAGTGGCATCTCGGCTGCATCGTACTTCGCCATGTTGTGGTTCAAGGTCTCGCATGCCCCGACGTCTTAATCCTGGCGCCTTCCACGTATGAGCTGGAGCGTGCGGAATGATAAGACGAGCCTATCTGCGCCCATAGCGAATGCCGGCACTGTGCAATGCAAAGTGTGAGCCATGTTATCCTTAAGTCTGTCTTCGTCAGCATCGCTAGCGGAATATTCTTGCTGACGTACCATGGCTCTCGAGAATCGAGGTATGATTCCTTTGAGAGGCCGCGGCTTCCCAGCCAGTTGCCAGCCGAAGCCTGGCAAATCTATGGCTATGGTCTCGGAGAGGTTTCATCGCATCACTGAGCTGAGGAATGGCAGCGCTGGGTCGTGAACCTGGGCGCTGGAGATGGCTCTTGTGGCCAGGACGTCGTTCGACAGGATAATCTCGCACGGGGACTCTTCGGCATGTCGGACCCGACGAACTGCTTGCTTCGAGAAGGTGGCTTCAGCTGAAACTGTCAAAAGCCCCGTTAGTTGATTGCTTTGTCGCCTACCCGTCGCGGCCCAAAGCCGCAACGTCAAACACTGGCTTTGTGGGACCTGACAAGCTGCCTGTTGGTGCTGTGGGGCGGCCTGATATGCCAACTAACCAAGGATTTGGAGGTTTGGTGTTCGAGGGTGACGACAGGCGCCTCCATGACCTCCAGAGCCTCGTGGAAAATCGCACAGATGCCAGGCTCAAGCATACGCCTGGATTTTACAGGCTACCATTGCCCAGTACGGAAAAGATTAAATCCGAGAGACGTGCATTGACGCGTGTTCGTCTACGATCTGAGGATGTGGAGCTTCATTTTGGTTTCGTGGATCCTGGTATTGCAACGAAGCGCATCCTGGAGTATCAAGCGCACCATGGCCCATCATCTCCACAGTGGCTCAAGGCCGGCGACTGTGTGAAGTGTGGCCAGGGCTAAGCAACGACTGCCTTCACAAGGTTGACGTGGACAACTGCGACTGCTGCTTTGTGGAAGATGTTCTGAAAGCGGGAATCCGACCTCTTCTCATTCATGTGGAAGTGCACCCGCTGGTTCCTCCACCCTTCGTGTACAGGCCCTGTTAAAGTTGTTAAGCGGGCTTCGCATCCTTCTCCAAGCCGGAGGCCGGTCTTTTTCGATCCCAGCATTGGGGACTCGATGCTCTCGCTGAGTGCTTTGGCAGGTATGACATGTAGCAGCTGCTACCCTCTTTTGAATCCTTCACCATGTGCTGCAGCAAGTCTGGCAGTCTCAGGTGTCCTGGAGGGGCGTCCTGGACACATGCTTCACTGTTCACTTTCTGCCTTCGAAGAGTTACTTGATGATTATGGGTATCATCTCGCAGCTTTGCTTCAACAGACCTTGAATCTTTCGCTCAGCCTGTCTCAGATGCCACTTTAACAGACACACAGACACACAGACAGACACACAGACACACAGATCACACAGACAGACGCACGGACCACACAGACACAGACAGACACAGACAGACACACAGACACAGACACACAGACGCACAGACGCACAGACGCACAGACCACACAGACAGACCACGCAGACGGACAGACAGACAGACACGCAAACACAGACACACAAACACAGACACACAGACGCACAGACGCATAGACCACACAGACAGACACACAGACAGACACACAGACACACACAGACAGACGCACAGACACAGACAGACGCAGACCGACACAGACAGACACAGACAGACACACAGGCGCACAGACCACGCAGATGCACGGACCACACAGACACAGATAGACACAGACAGACACACAGACGCAGACACACAGACGCACAGACGCACAGACCACACAGACAGACCACGCAGACAGACACACAGACAAACAGACACAGACAGACACACAAGCACAGAGACACAGACGCACAGACGCACAGACCACACAGACAGACCACACAGACACAGACAGACGCAGACCGACACAGACAGACACAGACAGACACAGACAGACACAGACAGACACAGACAGATACAGACAGACACAGACAGACGCACAGACAGACGCACGGACAGACGCACAGACACAGACAGACACAGACACACACACACACAGACACAGACACAGACACAGACACACACACACACAGACACACACACACAGACACACACAGACACACACAGACACACACACACACACACACAGACACACACAGACACACACAGACACAGAGACAGACACAGAGACAGACACAGAGACAGACACAGAGACAGGACACCGAGACATACATAGAGACAGACACAGAGACATACACAGAGACAGACCAGAGACATACACAGAGACAGACACAGAGGCAGACACAGAGGCAGACACAGACACACAGACCCACAGATGTACAGACGCACAGAGACACAGACACACAGGCACACAGACACACAGACACACACAGACACACACAGACACACACAGACACACACAGACAGACACAGAGGCAGACACAGAGACAGACACACAGACAGACACACAGACAGACACACAGACACACAGACAGACCACACAGACAGACACACAGACAGACACACAGACACACAGACACACAGACAGACCACACAGACAGACACACAGACAGACGCACAGACCACACAGACACAAACACAGACACAGACACAGACAGACACAGACACACAGACAAAGACAAAGACACAGACACACAGACTTCCAGGTCGCAGGCTCACATCAGACCAAGCAAGAACAGCGATAGATGCCGATGCTGCTTGGAAAATAGCGCCAATCCATGCTGTAGGAAGGTGAGAGTGTGTCAACTCTCTCGAAAACTCTGCTGTACGAGAGCGATGCCTGACCCGGGCCTTTATCTGCTTCTGGAAAGTCGTCGATGGCGTTTAGATACATCACCCGTCAGACAAAGCTGCTGCCAAGGCTGACGTCGGCGTCCACTAGAAACGCACGTCGAATGAAACTCGTAGCTTCCTTTGAAGAGCCCTCATACAAGTGAAAATTGAATACCGGCACCATGGCTGGAAATGATTGAGAACGAAGTCTGCAAGTATGATGATACTGAACAAATATGACAGACCATGCAAGAATGACAGAGAATGAACACACATGTTGTTTCTGCAGGTTTGTAAGCTGCTAGTGGAATGAAGCTGGCGCCAAGACTCTCGGTCAAGCTGCTTTGGGGTGTCTTCAGATAGCAGCAAGTCGTCTGTCACTCGGCTGGTGTGTTCAAGTATTCCACATGCAGCAGGTCGTCAACAGGGCTTCTTTCGCGTGTATTCAAATAGCAGCACAACGCCTCAGCCTAAAATGTACACACTAGCCGCAATAGAGCTACACGACGTCAACGGCGACGACGAAGACGACGATACCTACGGTACAATAGGGATGTGGAAAATCAAGCTAATTTCGTGCTGGCGCATGTCGAGCGGCCTGATCTCGACTCGCAGTCGCGACACTACTGCCGGGAACACACACACACACACATGCCCAGTCGAAGCTGGTTGTTCGTCGTCAGAAGTCTGCTTAGGTATGTTCAGAAGAACTCGTCTTGGAATCCAGGATCTTCCAGGTGCATTGAGAACGAAGCTCCTTGTGGGTTTATTCAACGGTGCTTGATTGGATCTCCTGGTTGTATTCAGAATCGACATTAATATCTATGCTCACAGGTTTAGCAAGCTGCAGATATACAGGTCTTGCGCAAACACATAGCAGCAGAACTCCAGGACTTGCTTTGTTACTCTTCCACTACTCTGCCCTCTAGAGCCCCCTGCATCTTGGAAGCTGAGTCAACTGTCAATGGCTTCCAGGCAAGCCCACAGCTAACATCAGTGACAACCCAAGCCCAATAGACTACCCCATCCTTAAAAACAGGAGGTACACACACACACAGACACAGGCTGACGGACGGAGAGACACACCCGCACGCACAGACGCGCGCACACACACACACACACACACCTCCACACACACACACGCACACACACACACACAAACCTCCACACACACACACACACACACAGACACACACACACACACAGACACACACACACACACACACACACACACACACACACACACACACACACAGACACACACACACACACACACACACACACACACACACACACACACACACACACACACACACACAGACACACACAGACACACACACACACACAGACACACACAGACACACACACACACACACACACACACACACACACACACACACACAACACACACACACACACACAGACACACACACACACACACACACACAGACACACACACGCAGACACACACACACACACACAGACACACACACACACACAGACACACACACAGACACACACACACACACACACACACACACACACACACAACACACACACACACACA